TCATTAAAACACAGATGTGTGGACTGAAAGATGGACGTAGACACTGAATAAAAGAGTCACATGACTCACTCAGGCAATGTGCACGTATATCTCTGTCAAAAGCCGTGATTGTCAGTGCCTAATGACAAGATTATATCTTGATTTAAGTCATTCATGTACTCGCCCTTTCTGCTTTGTCTTGAGATGATATCCACCAAAAAGAATCACTTACCCCTAGTTGTCGTTGCTGGGTAACTAAGCACTAATTAACCTGTTATCTAATTCAGGGTTTATATGATGGGGCCATCTTGACCAAATAAAGCTACCAATCAGAATTCTTCTACTCATCTGACCATATAATGAGATGTTTTCATTAGATTGCCAAGCAAGCAGAGGACAAAACAACACAGTGATGTGACTATTTTAGCGTGGATTGTCAGAATTGTTGTTACTCGTAGCCTTTGTAATCTGGAAAATGAAGCTTTTTCTCTCCTGTTCTGGACAAGCAGCAACACAATAACTTTAAAAAAAACTAATGCTCATTTACATTCTATTATATGCCAGTCATTCAACAGTAATCCTGTCTGCTCGGCCTATTTAAAGAACACAAAAAAGTGAGAAGAACACATAACATTAGTCCACGCACAAATCTCATCTGCACTGCTATGCTTCAAACTAATATCAACTCTACGCATATGCCATTGTTCCCCTTTCCTTTACCGCGGGTCCCCGTGAGTGGCAGAACATGTGTGATCGTTGACATCGAACATGTTCCCCTCAGACAACAGAACCCCAGAAACCCATGGCGATGACAACACACACTCCTGCCTACATGACTGTGAAGTTTCAATTACCGGCAGACTTGCTGGCTGGATGCTGCCAGTCAGCCTGATGGGGGGAGGGGAATGACTGGTGGTGGAAAAACCTGAAGGCGAAGCACTCCCATCACGGTGGTACACGGCGTTAAGGGCCCTGGCTTGTGATTTATCATACGATATCCTCAGCTGCATTAAATGACATGTTTAGATAATAATTGCTGCAGAAGTAGATGCTGTACACTGGCTGGCTTTGACATGCTTGCAACTGACAGGATGGCACCCTCACACTGTGGTCATGCCTCAATATTCATTACAGCAAGTGTGAAAAGACAGGATTCACAGGGAAAGCAAAACAGATTCTATATTTCTCTTGGTACATATATGGCAATAAATTATAACAGGGGACAAAATAAGCACAATCTGAATCAATAAAATGTAAATGATACCCAACATTAGTCTAACCCAATGTCTTGGGGCGAATCTTGAGAATGAGTGTCACTGTAATTGGTGCAGCTATGGCAGCGAAGGTTATGGCCATTATAGGTGAGCGTGGGGAAGCATAACTGCTCATAGCTTTGCTCTCATTGTGTGTGAAGTAGAGGAGGGAATGTATGGGGTCCTGCTGCTCACCGTGACCTGTATCTTAATGAGGGGGACAAATCAATACCATGCTACAGCTGCCATAGACAAAGCTTCTTTTTTTTTTTTTCCAGTGGCAATGAACATGAGAGTAGGGCTCAGGTCAACTGACATTCAATTCGAATGCAATAACATTGCATCGAAATAGGTACTTCACGTTTAACTGGCTTTTTTTATATGCATGGTATTTATATGCACACAGGAACAACATACTATCTTTTATACATAAAACATACCTTCTAGTCTTTCAATTTTAAGCTTCGGCTTTTCTTATTTTCGACAGATATGAAAGTTTTAATATACCCTACCTTACTGCTCACATCCCCATCTTTCCCATCTTGTTTTCTGCTCCTTTTTTTTCTATCCATATTAAACCAACAAAGAAAAAACAACAGTCCCCCACAGTTGGACAGATGGATTGATTGATGACAGATGCAATGTTTACCCATGTAGGCAACGCTCCTCCAACTTTTTCAGTATTTTGCACAATACTGAGGAGGAAAAAAAAACAAAACAAAACAAAACAAAACCACACACACACACACACACACACACTGTCATTTCTCTTGACACTAAAACTGCTGGTGGGCTGAGATAAATCCAGCAGTTTTCGAAACACCCTCACTTGTTTCAATAATTTTCCAAAAAAAGAAAAAAAAAAAACCAAGTCATTTTGTGGGAGCACAGCAGAATAACGGGTATCACTCACTCCAAAAATTCTGAATCAACACTCGACCAGACAACACTAGACCTGCGATAAAGATAAGTTCAGATAAACAGGGGAAAAACATGCAATGCTGTGCATGTCATCGGCTTGTCCAACAACTTACTGTATCAAAACTACTGGAGGGTTCAGCACTTGACTGTGACAGAACACTATGCGTAGAACGATGCAGCCAGGAAGCTAAATATTATATAAAAGCAAGAATAATGGGAATACAAAAGTTGGATTTATTCCAATGAAATGATTAATTACTGAAATGTGCACAGGCTATAAGATAATACATTAGGTGTGACCAGGTTTACCTGAAAAAGGACTGAACAAATCACCTCTGAAAGCTCTATCAGCCACCAGATTATGTGCTTAGTACAGCAAGCCATAACGTCTCCCCGGAGCTCCTACTCGATCAACTTATTGACTTTGCCCAGCAATCAGAACCAGTTTCACCTTCCAATTACGGAAGCTTATGTGCTTTACAACAATGCAAATTTAATTTGCTGGGTAGCCTGTGCAGAGGTGGTTTGATGAGAGGGGTAGTTAAAAGCACTTCATGTGAAAAAGAGCAGAAAAAAAAGGACTATATACTTGTATTTCAAGTTGAATATCTTAGCAGTTGGTCTTTCTGCTTCTTTTTGAGTAAAAAAGAAATATAGTCTCACACTAAGACACAGAGGAGCAGAGAGACAGACAGACAGGAGCTGGGGACTCAAAAGACAAACATGTTTTATGTTTCATAAAAGATGAGTTCACTGTGGGTAGCAGACAATCCGAGAGTTTGACAAACACAGAGTGAAATGACAATGGGTGGGAGACGTCTTGGGTGAGAGGCTGTCTTTTAAAAACGCAAAAGTCCATTTCCAGTTGAAAAGAACATTGGCTGTGCGGAAGCGTCTGACTTGACAATTACATGAGTGGTGCGAACGGCACTGCGTCTCCACTGATAACCCGTTGGATTCTATTAAAACTCCGGCACTCCAAGAGAACGCTCAAATGGAAGAAATTATCACACAGACACACACGCACGATTTTTAAAACACTAAAACTCTCTGACAAAGATTCTTCTGCTGCATTATGTCTGCTAGAAGGCAGTAAACTGCAAGGAGAACAGAACCATCGACTGGATTTGAGTGGGAAATATAAGTTACAGACAAAGAATGAAACAAAGACTGTATACGACTATGTGCTATGTGTGCTCATTGTGTAAGTAAATGAAAAGCCACTGCGGCGTTTTCTATCTGTAGTTTCAAAGGTTGCTAATGGCCCTGGGTTAGCCTTGGGGCTACAAGCGATCACTTCATAGCTTATAGGAGGAAAAGTTCTCCTAAGTACAGCGAGTTAGCATTTCAGGAGTATGCGGGCAATGATATGCACAAGGACACTCGTGTGTGACAGCTCAGTGAGACACGCCACCCACTACACTGCTTCATATATAACATACAAAGCAGGTGCTACTTTCTTGCCCTTCCTTCCCTCCAACCTTCACCGCCCCTCATTTGTCGTGTCTCTCTCCCTGTGAAAAACAACATAAATTAAATTACAGAAAACCTATGACTGAAACAGTTTTCTTCACAGATGCTGAAGGGAAAAAACACATCATGTATCTCCCCTCCTTTGCCATCCCTCTCTCTCTCTCTCATCACCCCTTTTTTTTTTTTTTTCTCCTTTCGATCTGAACGCCGTTCCAAATGAGGGATCCCTCATACACTTGTCCTGCGGCGAGGAATCACGTCAACGCTCCTCTTCTTCTCTCTCTCAACAAAATGATTCATTTTTCTATTACGGCGATGAGCGTGTGAAATGAGCTATATAATCAATAGCATAGGTTTGTAAACAGCAGCCACACTCCAGGGAAAATGTGTTTTCTTTTTGGAAACAATACACTGCCGGTGTGTGTGTGTGTGTGTGTGGGTGTGGGTGTGTGTGGTAAAGAATGCTCATCTGACAGTGTTTACAAGGGCAATTTACAGGAAATAAAGACACAGAGTGGACAAAATGAAGGTATATTTCATAACAACAGGCAGGATGATGAGGCGGGGATTTGGAAGAGGGCAACAACATCCTAGTACAGCAGAGAGATGTTTACTTACTGTATGAATGCATGTTTAATGTGAACTGAAGCTATCCTCTGAGTTTGTATGATGTATAAATAACAGAAAAAAAATGAAAACGTACTCTGCGTGTGTCTCTATATGAGTGTGTGTGCATATTCCTGGCAGCGCGGGTTGACAAAGTCAAGCCAGTTCTATGAAATACTGCTCACAGCGATGCTCACACACTCACAGCCCTAACATTTATCACTGTTCCACTCATTCCCCGCCGTTAACAGCCAATGGGTTCACTTCTGTGCGTATATGTGTGATATAACAGAAATGTGTGAACATAAAATGGGAAAATAGCTCTCCTTAGTGAGTGTATGCTTGCAAGTTCATACAATTAAAATGTCTGTTTGATACTGTGGCGCAGATTTTCATCCATCCGTCTCGAGGGTCGCATGGGGGTGAAGTCAATCTCGGCAGCCATTGGGCGAGAGTCAGGGCACGCCGTGGACAGGTAGCCAGTCAATCACAGCGCTGATACATCCACTCGCACTCACTTTCACACATGCCTAACTGCAAATTAACCTAACCCACATGTCTTTTGAGTGTGAGAAGGAACTCAGAGCACACAGAGGAAACCCATGCAGGTACAGGGAGACCATGCAAACTCAGCACAGTAAGGCCAGATTGTTCGAACCAACACGCCGCCTCTGGTTCATAACTGAACATCACAATGTATGAAACAGTTCAGTGAGTTTCACAGTAGCTGCTATATATATATCAACTAGGTGTTGTGAATAAACTTACAAATAGCTGAGCACGGAGCCTCTGATCCTCGGTGGCGATCCTCTCCCTGATAACAGCCTGCTGGATGCTCTCGTGGGCCACGGAACGCTCCACAGTCAGGATCCTGGACACTTCGTCCTGGACTTGGGAGTGAGCCTCAGCCTGAGCCTGTGATGTTGCCCGGGCCTTCTCTGCCTCTAACCTGTGAAGCATCAATACCAAATGTTTAGACATTTTACATGGCTGACACGGCTCCTCAAGCTGTAAAACTATTCATATGTTAGAATTTTATAGCAGAGGTACCATTTGCAAGGTACAACACCACTTAGTGTATGTTTAGAGTGCACTCAGTGTGTAATAACAAAGTACCTTGTGGGAAAGAAGTATGATGCGTACTATTCAGTATTATTTCCCCTAGTTGGCCACAGAGTTTCAATGTGCATTTGGTCATAGTATGTTGTGCTGTCCACACATCAAGGCTTTTATTTTCACTTTAGTACAGCATGAAGGTATATACTGAATCTCGGTTTCACATGTTTATGCAGCTAAAAACTTTTTAAAAAACATGCTGTTTAAAATTTATAAAATGTAATTAATGACACGATCTAATAAAGCTATTGTTATTTTTCAGAGCAGCAAATGTTTGCTATCAGCATCTTTGGTGTTTGTAGCACCACCCATGTTTCCATGTCATGCACCGCCTCCCAAAAGAATTGAAAGGTCACAAATGCAATTACAGTGCTAATGACGCATAAATATAGACCAATATGCTCATATATTGATTTTCATTGTAATGTCAGATTCATCCATACGCACATCCCTGCTATTCCATAGCCTGCAAAGAGGGGGCAACTATGAGAGGTGCTGGTCGAACAACGCAGAAAAAAGTTAAACTCACGCCCAAGTGTGACAGAAAGCAGATGAGCTGCAGTCAGATGACCTCCATCAGACAAACAATTTGTATCAGTTCCAAATAATTACACCGCTGAGTGATTTGACTATCAATATGTAATGGATAAAGAACACTAGCATTTACCCAAAATAAGAATCATCAATCCTATGAAGCAGAGGCATAGACGGAGGCAGTACGCTCTCTGCAGACACAGGACCACCATTTGAACCCTGTCACTGGGTTCTCATAGTTGCCTAGCAACGCACTCCCTACTCAGTGACAGTGTGCTTGATTGAATAAGGAGGAACATCCCTGAAACCCTGAAAGTCTTTCTCTGGTAGGAATCAAACAGTCATGGCAAGGTAAAATAAACACACACAAAACGACAGAGCAAGTGATGGAGTGAATTATGACAGACTGAACGGACACGGTGAGGACCTTAAACGTCTTCTTTAGAAAGATGCAAAGGCAGCCCTGAAAGCTAAAAGACACCCCTGAGGAGGAGGAGGATGCCTGGGAGTGATTGCGAGTGTTAACTTGTTACGTGACACATTTCCCAAAAGGGAAAATAATTCAATACAAAATTCCTTGACATTCAAATTACCCATCTACGCACCTCAGGAGAGGTCTGATTCATCAGTTATTGTGTGATGTCTATAATGAAGACATTGTTAAGCCACAACACTTGTTTTTAAATGAGGGTTCATCAGAAAAACACATTTTTCCTCGCTTTCCGACACTTTTTCAGTACTCACGGACACAAAAGTTAAATGAGTCATTTAAAGCCTCATCAGGTTTATGCATTGCACTTAATTTAAATGCATCATCATGCACATTAATGTATGGTTCCAGACATGGGCGCTGTCTGTGGCTTTTTCACCTTTTGGCTCTTTTTTTCTTTCCATTATAAAAACCTGCTAATCTGTCAAAGTGACAGGTTTTTATCTTTTATTCTATTTCAGAAATCTCATTTATCTCTTCACTCACCTGTGAAAACACCCAAAATTTAGACAGTGATGAATTGTGATGGACGGACTGTCTAACTGATCACTACTCCAAACCTTTGGCTTTGAGTCGATGACAGGTGGGTCTAATAAAAGTATGTCCGATGTCTTAAAGCTGCCATTTGCCCCGTAACGCCACTAAATGTCAGAGAGCAGGGGAGATCGAGATTAGATGGGGAGACGGAGAAAAGGACAGAAAAAGAGAGAGGGAAAGAGAATAAGGAGGGAGCGTGAGCAGTGGCGACATGACATGTTTGGCCCTGAGGAAGTGAAGCAAAGAAGGAGTGAGGCAGAGAGTGGGAGAAAGAGATGGAGGGAGACGGAGAGAGACCAGCCATGTCCAGTCTCACAGTCCACTGGGCTGCACACGTCAGCACACTCCATCCATCATCAGGCTCCGACTCACGCACACACAGACACATGGGGAGCGTCCTAATGGCCTTTTACATTCACCATTTCCCCCACGATCCACGCCTCCCTGCCTGCACTGCTAATGCACCTAAGCTACCTTTACTCAAGAAGCTTTGGCTAGTGCTATTGCTAAAACTATGACAAAAGAGGGACAGTCTAGTAGATTACAAGAAAAAAAAAAGGTCTTTGGTTAGTCATGGGGGTCAGCAAAAGCAGCAGATTCTACCTTTAGGACCTTGTAATTTTGAACAAATGCATCTAAATTGTGAGATGAAAATCTGAAAGTTTGATCAGATGAAACTCTTCTGAGAGAACAGACTTCACATAAAGCACCCAATGAAGTTTTGTTATCTAAACCACTCATTAAACAATTTTAATTTGTTGAAAGTGAGCAGATGCTTTAAGGACAACCTGCCTTCTCCTACACATCAGCAGCAAGTGCAAATTTGTCCTCCAAAATATCACCGTAAAGCAAGGTCTTTATGAGTCCCTCTACAAAGTTGAGAAACTGTAAAATATTAAATGATTTTTTTATTGTACTTAAAAGGTTACTATAATCTTTGTTTAAAATATGTTTAGTGGAGTGAAATGAAAATAATGAGCTTTATATTTTAGCTATAAGGAACCCAAAAAACATCAAACGTTCTGGTGACCAAAAGCAACAACCTGGACAAGAGAAATAAAGGGGACCAAGAAAATAGACAGCCCAGCAAAAAAAAAACTCTTTCTACTGACTTCCTCACAAGTGCTAACCCAAGCAAAGACTGCTATCACGAGCTGGATGCTATCTGTCTGCTTCACCTCTATTGCTTTCCAGTCATTATTGCCCTGTCTCTGGGATATTGGACGCATTTTTCATTCGACTGTAGAAGATTGGCACTGGGAGGGAAAGGGGGGCTTTGAGGTAGAGAATGGTTGAGTCAGACAGAGAGAGAGAGAAAAAAGACAGTACCTATGCAGGGAAAAGGAGAAATATCATGTCTCTGGAGGATACGTGGATGGTGTTTGGCCTGGTTCTGTATAGAAGAGAGAGGATTATCTTGGCCAAGTAACCAGTGTTTGGATTGCTCACTGGATCGAGCCTTAAAAACAGAAAGATGGAGAGCCGGAACCAGTGAGGTATTATTAATTTGGAGAGGAGCAGAGTGCTAGTGAGTCAAACTTTGTCTGCCTTTCCAGAGAAGCAACTCTCTATTTGCAGGAGGAGACATCAAACAAAAGTACTTAGGAGTAAATATGCACAGGTTGGGTATCAGAGATGCTGCACCTCAGTGTTAAGTGACTCTAGACAAGGCAAGCTTTTGCGCTGCAGACTTTGCAGTACGGACTAATTAAAACTGAATTTTTGGTGCCAATATTCTTTACATACAGTATATGTTAGGGATAAATTGAAAAGAGAAAATGTTTATTGACTTTACAGCAATGTATTTCACAAATTAATATGGAACTTACTGCAGACACTGCTTGACTCCACTGTCTGCTCAGCTGTGACATGTACTCTGCTACATGTGCTGCAGACAGCACTGGCAGTTTCGTAAACAGCAACGACGGAGCATGTTCTGCTGGATAAACTACGTTACGACACTGTTTCCAAATTACTCCAAGCGTCTATTTCTGCCTTGTGTTTCCTTATAGGTGTATATTGGACAACACGTGTCAAGATCAAATACCTGTATTAGAATAATATTAGCAGGATAAATAGTGAGGTTCCACTTTATAAGAGCAAAGGCGAATGTAGAAGTGGTCAAAATTGATGGAGAAAACCCATTAAACCCATTAATCATTACTGAGTACTCCACAGGTGAACATCATCACCCTTGCCCTAATATCAAAACAAAACAAATTTTAAATTCTTGCTTTCTAGCTGTCCCCCCTGTTAACTCACCATCAGCCACCATCTGTCTCTTCCTGCAGCTCTTCACCCATTAATGCTTCCTATTTTCTATCTGTCACCCGCACAAGATGTGTCTCAATAAAGTGTCGCAGGATGGATCCTGACAGACCTGCACAACAGTGCAGTTTTGACACAAGTGCCTTGAAACAAAAGCATTTAAAGGCTCAATGCAATATTGATGTTAGGAATAATGTCGCAGAACGCTGGCTATGAATATTTTATGGAGCCATGCACTCTTCCTGACACACATGTGCTCACATAATAAATACACACATACACCACACCTGACTGCAGGTGCTGTGAAACGCTGCGATGCTATTAAAGTGAAGTGTATGGGAAACAAAGACCAGTGGCGTGGGAAGATTTAGAAAAATCCCCAAACAGCAGAAAGAACATAAAATCCTCTTATTCTTCCTCCACTTTACTCACAACTATGAAGAGATAATCACAATAGTCTTAGCACTACAATCAAGCTTCATCCGCTTTCTGTCAAAAGAGGATAACACTGCCACTTTCACCTCGTCTTTTCAGATATCAGATCAAGTACACAAAGCTCAAACTCCCCAAAAGCAGTCCCTCTATTTAGCAATGTGGAACAAGTTCAGGGCTTGATGCTTGTCATTTATGATTATTATAGAGCTGAAACACAAGGATGATATTAGATATGACTTTTTTTTTTAACTGAACTCCCCAAAACTGATTCAATAGACAGTAGATTTGCCAGGAGACTGGACAGTCAATAAACATAACTGTTCTGCTGAATAGGTCAGCAGCACTCTACAGTACTGAGAAATACTGATTTTTTTTTTTTTTTCCAGAAGAATTTACAGCTCAATGACTGTTACACTTGAAATGGCCTTATACATTGACGATGGCAGCACTTTCACAACAATGTGACTCAGTTTACAAGAGGCAAGAAACATCAGTTGGAAGAAAGTGCTTTGTGAAAATAATATCCATTCATGCAGGTAGTGAAAGACTAAGGCGACAATGACATACAG